CCCCTCCCCCAATCTCTGAGCCAAAAGGACGCATGCTGTGCGGGAAAGGGGGTGGGGGGCGGAGTTCCGGGAGATGTACAGTCTTTCAGGTTTTTCCTTGAATCGATACCACCGTGAAGTAAGTGAGACCTTTTACGGACTCGTTTTGGCAACAAAAAACACAGAGAAAAGAAAATGACGCGTTTTTGCAGACTAGTGCACAAACCCATCGAGGCTAGAGCTTTGCATTACTCGTGATGTACAGCAATTCAAGTGCTGCTCAGTCGGGCGAGCCAGCGATGATATTTTCACAAATAAAATCGTTTGGGCTGTTGCGTGGATAAAAATTTCAACTTTCAAGCCCATCTCTTCTCTTTGCTCTGCCGGCTTCTTTCGGGCAAACGTATTCCTTACAAGTTTTGCAAGGATGCTTCGTGCGTAGGAGCATGGTCGGAGCGGTAATTGGCGAGGAGTCATCCCTCGTCCCTGCCCCTTGGGACTCTGTGAGCACTGGCCATTGGCCAAATGAGACCAGAAGAACCGACTCAGAGGCAAAACAGTACAAATACATGCGAAATTAAACAAAAAGATCACTAGACGGATGTCGTCTCCTTGCGAAACAACATCGATACCCATTAAAGCGTATCACCACGAAACAACATCTATACCCATTAAAGCGTATCACCGGTCAATTTCAGGCTCAGATCGGCAAAATTCTAAATTTAGCCTCGGGTGTACTGGTGGTTTAAGGTGGATTATCATTTACAGTGTAATCAGCTAGGGGAGTCTGCGGACTGTAGAGGCTTCAGCCTCCTGATGACTGGCTGAAACTCCGATAAAGCAGTTTGTCACAACCCCTACTCTCTCTCGTATACAAAATGAGAACTACTCTCTCTCGTATATAAAATGAGAACGAATCTCCCTCTAGAACCTGGGAAGATGCACCCCTGCTTTTTTCTTTGCACAAAAGACAAAAGATATGAAACGGCTTTGTTGTCAGCACGTGTGTCCCGTCGGGCCTTGGCTCCAGAACTCACCAAATGTGCGAAATGGGAATGAATCTTGACCGATCCAGAAAGAACCAAAGTCGTTTACAAACAAGCGGCCCATCCCCGAATTCCGTCATACTCTCTCGGTGCTGTCCCGTCCTTTTACAATCCACCTTAAAGTTTGGTCCCTGTTCCGATCTTCTAGACTTTCCCGCTACATATATAGTCATACCTCCTCCAGCCGAACCCTATCCGGCCAGGTAATTTCACGACTCCTGACGAGATCAGACTAGGGATCGACGGAAAAATGCGTACTAGGGTCTTCCCCAGACTGTACGCTAAGCTTCCATTTAGCCTGTGCTGGCCATTTTTTCATCCGCTACTGTTGCTTGGTTCTGTGTACTCACCTTCCTTTTTTGCCTTTTTTCACCTTTCTCTTTCTGATGTGGCAACGCGTTGCCGGGCGAAATTGCACTCGGTTGAAGTCGGATGAGTGTATTCCCCGCGCAATAGCGCGATTGCCAGAGCGTGCTACGCCTGGAACATCAGACGCAGGGCGAGTGCGATCCTAAGCGAAAGGCGGCAGCGTTATCCTAAGCTCGCAGGCAGGCGGAGAGAAGACCAGGCGTGGTTCTGAGAGAGTGCACAAGCAAACCAGGAACAGCGCTGGAGGGTGAGTGCGATGCGTTGGGAAATGCTGTGCAGGAGGAATGTCTGAGGAGAGGGTGTGGGAGAGAACTTCAAGGTGAAATGTTCATCCCAGGGTCGACTCTGGGTAAGGGGACGTGTTTAACTGAATTTGACAGCCCGAACTGGCCTATCCCAGTCCGTAGGGCCGGGTTCAGGAAACAAGTCAAGTCTTGGGTGGCAATGGGTGCTGCTTCTTTCTCTCCAAATGCTCTCGGTACGGATCGAAGCTCCACTCTCGTCATCAGCGTACAAGCAATGCGTGGGTGTTCTGGACGGTGAGCGAGCGTTGTGCGGCTTGTGCCCACAACAGAACGGCATGAAGAAGGGCGAGAAACAGAGGCGGAACGGGTTCAAACGGGAGAAGTAGAGGGGGAGCGTAGGGAGACGAAAAGGGAAACGACGGAGAAGGGTGGGCGCAGAGGGAGAGAACGATGGCTTCAAATGAGCTAGCAGAGATAGATGGGGCAAATAGAGTAGGAGAGAGTCGACCTTCGGGGAATGTAAAAGTGGATGCAGAGACGCATGCAGGATGGAGAACTCGGACGGGCAGACAAGTAAACGCATCCAGCTAGAGGCGTGTTATAAGAAGCACAGGTAGGGAGAAAGGGCGGGACAAAGCACGGCTAGACAGCGGAACGGACTAAAGCAGATATGGTACGGTGGGTGTAGAGGAGGAGACAACGGCGAACGAGAGGGCGCTCACCTGGAAACGGTTTTCCTTCTGCAGGGAGGGCGATCTGCGCTATCCTCGCGGTCCTAGCGTAAACAGCTGCCGTGAGATGGCAAACACAAAGACTCAAAGGAGTGATCTAAGATGTCGTGGTAGTAAACCAACATCTGCGGCAGCACCGGTATGGGGGGAGAACTCTTCGATTCTCACCTCCCGAAAGCGCTCAGGTTTTCCTAACCGTAAGCTAGCGTGCTCGCCGTGTTGACTACTAAGCCCCGTAGGCAGAGGGAATGATTTCTGGCTGCCGATGGAGGGGATCGGGCGGCTATGACAAAGTCAACCCAACTGGAACTTGATTTTTTCTTTCTTTTTTAGAAAGGTGCCATCGCCGAACTGACCTCCGTCGTCATTCATACCTCTGATCCCTCAGGGACCAAGTGGTAGCAGGGGTTTAGTCGAGAGGCCTAGTACAGTCACTACAGTGGGCGTCGCTCCACTACTCTCGACATGCACAAAAGACACAAATTATGGCGGTCCTTCGGGACAATGGAACGATACACAGAAGATTAGCATGGCCGCTGCGCAAGGATGACACGCATAAATCGAAAAAAAAAACTAATAATAAAATTATGGCGGTGGATCTTTCCATGTTCTAGCGGAAGATCCACTCTCGTTTTGCACATTTCAAAGGGAGGGGAGCCAAGCCTAGTGTGACATGAGTGAGCATCCAAAAGATCCGACGCCCAGACAAAAAGGATTTAATAAAATGTGA